TTTTAAATTATTTTTAATTCAATTCGAAATACCTAATCTTTTTCCATAATTATGGAATCCTTTTTAAAAATCCTTTTTTCTTATCATGCGATCGTGCGAGTCACCAAATGTAAACGAACGAACAAAAATATTACCTTTTTAATTTTAAAATGTTAAATGTTAAACCGGTTATAGTTTAAATGTAAAATTTTGTTAATTTAAGGGTGGTAATATCGAAACGAAAAAAATCCTATTTGTTTCTTTTTTATGTTCTCGTTAGTTTGTTGTCTTTTTGTTACACTGGTTTTTTCTTCTTGTTTAATTTTTTTTTTAATACAATAAGAACCTCTCTTTTATTCCGACGATTTGCAATTACGAATTAAAATCCCTAAAATGCAATTAATTTTTCCTCGACCATTGTTGTTTGTTTTATTTGTTCTTTTTATGTTTTGTTTTGTTTTAGTTTGTTTGTTTAATTTCTGCGTGAAACTTGTACCTATATACATAAGGCAATGACCACGAACATTATTATTATTATTATTATTATTATTATTATTATTATTATTATTAATTATTTCTCATTTATTTTTCGCCTAACTTCGATTTTTTCATTCGATTTTCATTCGATATTTATTTTTTTTATTCTAACAACAGCACGTTTTTTTTTTAATGTATATATATATAAAGTATTTATCATGTATTATATTCGATATATGTTATAGCATTAGAACGTCACATTATTTTTAACAGACCCAAAAGTAGGGAGAGACACGAAACAAATTCTTGACCTTTCAAAACCGTCCTAAAATCCAGCGGATAATTTTTTTCTCTTTTTTTTTTTATATTATATTTACAGGATCCGATCGAATTATATTTACAAACAAGAACGTGGAGTGACTTTTTATGGAAAAAAAAAAAATATATCCATATATATATAATAAGAAAACATTAGAAATAAAAAATAAAATTATCATCGCTTAAAGTTTCTTTCCTTTTCGATTAAAATAAAAGTTTTGATTTTCAAATTCCAAAAGATAATTTAATAATTTTATTCAAATAATAAGAAAATATTAAAATAAAAAATAAAATTATAATCGTCCGAATTTACTTTCGTTTTCATTTAAAATTGAAACTTCCAAATTCCAAAAGACAAGAATATTTAATTCAATTTTTGTTTTGTTTAATTAATTTGTGTTGTTTTTTTATTTTTTCTCCTGTTTTTCTCCATAAAAAATCACATCATCACCCACCTGCTTGCACACATTATTCGGCCAGATCCTATATACAAATATATATATACATACATATACATATTTATGTGTATATATATAAAAAGAAGAAAGAATGAAAAAACAGCGCTAGAGAGGCATAAACATTGAATTTTTTACTTTTTTCTTTTTTTCCTTTTCTCTGTATGTAGTACGTGTGTGTATGTGTTTTTCTTATTTTTTTTTCTTTTAGACGTTTAACATCCGGACGAGAGGTTCTTTTACTTTTTTTTTCTCTTTCTCATTTTTTTTTTATCTACAGTTTACGATTAAAGCATGACTCGACCAACGGGAAGGCACTTGGACAAATTACGTGCCGAGTTGGCCGCTGTTTATTTTATTTTATTTTATTTTATTTTATTTTATTTTATTTTACTTTATTTTATATTATTTTATATTATTTTTTCTTTTTTTTCTTTCTTATTATTTCTTTTTTTTATTATTTTTCTAGTACGCACGGCAAAATACCTGTTCCGTCTTGGCTTAATAATCTTTTCCCGTTTTGTTATTTCCTCAAGTTTCTATTTTTTTTTTCCATATTTTTTAATCCATCCTGGATACACCACGACCATCACCATCAACATGATCGTTTAGCATTTTTTAACGTTTCTTCTAATTGTTTCATTATTCTTTGCCCCATTTTTTTTTTTGCCTAACTCGCCCTAATCCTATGATATGTTCACATTCATTACATATATATATATATACACACATATACATGTACAAATACATATATATGTATACATATATATATGAATAAGGTTATCACTTAATAATCGTTCGATTTAATTAATCATTTTTCTCCCATTTCATACCCCAACCCCCACCCTCACTCTCCTTCACTTTTACCTTTGTTTCTTTCTCATACATCTGGATCTTTTTAATTTCATCTTAATAATCTCATATTATTTTCTATACGTTTATTTTCTTTTTTCATTTCCATTTCATTATACTTCATTATACTTCACATTCCAACCTACCCCCTACCCCCAATAATCTTACCTCATACTTAAACCAATCAATATCATGATCCTTTAAAAAACAGCCCACCTGAACACCCACGTTCTTTCTTTCATTATTATGTTTTTTTTTTTTTAGTATCCATCCTACGTAAGAATAGATATAGCACAACACCCACATTTATCCAACAAGAATACATAATTTTTTTCATCATGCAAAACGCACCGTGCACGTGGTACTCGCGCACTTATGCAAAAAACCCCCTGGTTGATAATAAAACATAAATACACGCATCTTAGGGCACCTTTGGTATTAAGCTTGATGTACATAACTCTGTCTCTCTTTTTCGTCTATCTTTCATCATCATCATCATCATTTTCTCATATCGCTTTTAATAAGTAGAATAAATTACGTAACATCGTCTACGAGCCACTACAAATTTTTTTTTTACCATTTCTTTTTTTTGTTTCATTCTCACTCACTCTCTTTCTCTCACTTTCTTTCTATTCCCCAATATTTTCCATAAAAGATGTAACTGGGTGTACGTTTGTTTGTTTCTATGTGTATGTGTGTGTGTGTTTGTATGTTGTGTGTGTGTTTGCGCACGCGTTAATTAATCATTTTGAAAAGCTTCGACCGAAAAACGTGTGTTTTTTGTTTAATTATTTTGTCGGTTCATCTTAAAAATCGAATAAACTTGACCATTATTTACAAAGAGATCGTTTAGTTTCAATGGCAAAAGATCGGCCATCTTGTATAAAACCTATTTTTTGTTTCTTTTTTTTTATTAATTTTTTTATAACCCCCCAAATCCCATCCCACCCCATCCCGTTTCATCATTGTTTAATTCTTATAGTAGTTTTTCAAGTAAAAAGCTGTGAAGGATAGCGTGACTTGCGCGAGCGCTTGATTATTATTATTATTATTATTATTATTATTATTATTATTATTATTATTATTATTATTATTATTA